ATGCGTACTTGCTTATTTCACTGTCCTTTATATATATGTATATATATATATATATATATATATATATATATATATATATATATATATATATAGAATAAACTTAACTCGACGCAAAGCGAACTTGTCCAGCTTGGAAAATGCAATGTAATGGCACCCTTTCTCTTGGGGCACAGATATGAAGCACCAGCCAACTGGAAGTGCGTAATGATCCGAAAGGACAAGCGCTATTTCCGTCATGGAACCGTGAATGAAATTCAGTCTAAAAGGTCATGCTCAATGTCACAAAGTTACGCACACTTTTTTATTTCATTTTTATTTATTTATTTATTATTATTATTATTTTTGTCGTCGCGTGAATTCCAGAAACGAATGCGCGAGAAACATTTGTCGAGCCGTCCTCCTGTTGAAGAGCATGGCTCCGCATTACGTGTTCGCTAGAAATAAATCGTTCGTTAGCTTTCTCATATCGAAAGACAAAGTGGCCAAGGCTTCAGAAATTAACTTGGGAATCGGGACCATGTTCGTTTTTTTAACTTGGGAGTGGGACCATTACGTCCGTTTGGCCGGAACCATCTTATTTTTCCTGTCTCCTACACCCGTGCTACATATGGGTCGGATACATATGGTCTGCCCCGAGCACAAAGACCGGTATGTCCAGCAAATATCAGCGCTTCTTTTAAACGCACGTCACTCGGATCAGCATGGCGTGACGAAAAACGTCCACTCTCCCATTTGTCCGCGTTCCTCGCTCGCCCCCAACACATCACAGAACAAAGTGGGCCGGACGACCACGCGACGAGCGACCGCTGCAATGACCACAGCTGACGGCGACGTCCCTGCCAGAGCAACGGTTCCTGCCCTCCCCGCGAAGGGCCATGGTCGTCGACCCACTGGCCTGCAGTCTGTCCCTTTTGTCCAGCACTATCGACCGTGACCGCCGGCGAGCCAGTCACGCCGTGCATGACCACTCGCTAACCGGAGACTCATCCGATCCCCAGACACTGTCGGGCGTCGTTCAGCCCTCTCATTATTTCGGACGTCTCTTTGTGTGTAACGCGGCGGCTGTTTCCTTTCCGCGCCGGTATACGCGCACGTGCTCGTTTAGAGAGCAAAAAGTGGACACGTCTTTACAATATGGCCCCGTTAGCTGCAGAGACTCCTGCTAGCTTCTCGCTCTGTTTCTGTGTACGTCTGTTAGGAACGCGCAGTTGTTGGACATGGGGGGAAAGGGAGTGATACCGTTGGACATTCTGAAAGTCTGCCACGTCTGTGTGGAGAGGTATTATAACAAAAAGGAGCGGTGGTCACACCCTCCCTGAGTGCTCGCGCATTGAGCCAGCGGCCGCGATTCATTTTTGGCGGGAAACTCTTCGCGTCAGTGGACACGGGGCGAGCGGTTGTCACGAGATAGTGGACAATTTCGGGTCGGGCTTCTTTCTAACAAGCCGTGACTACAGTTACGTGGGCATCGCGTGGAAGGCTGGAGTAACGTCGCTGGCAGATATCATGGGGCGCCTGTCCCAACGGCAGAACTTCCCGAACGCCCGGAGAGCACGGACGGGGGCACGCCTGGAAGCCACGTCTTTCGCCATGTTGACGATGATGGCTGGCCTGGTACTAGTCGCGGCACCTGTTCTTGGACAAGGAATGCCCCGTGCATCGCGGCGCTTCTTTGGTATGTAGTGTTCGACCTCCACTCTGAACGTGTGTGCCGTAAGAGTGTGCGGTGGCCGTTGCCGTAGATTCAAACGCCAGGTACTCATAACCCGTCGACATCAAGCGTCGACATCTTCAAATAAATCAGGTTTATTTTATTGAAATCAGACTCATTTGATTGAAATCACCGTAGTCAGAAAAAAAAATTATTTATCACTAGATATATTTTCAAACATGGAAGATTGATTGATCAATCTGTGCGATCACTGAAAACAATGCGGAAGAAAGAATTGTTGTAAATTTAAGCTTTGAATGCACCATTTCATCAACGTTCTATTGATGCGAACTCTGCCATACAAAATAAGCTTGATTCTTTAGTTACAAAAAGCTTCCTTAGCTTACGTAACTGACGAATGAAAGGGAAGGTAAAAGGAAAGCTCGCTGTGATTTGCTCAGAAGAGCGCCACGTTTCGTTCGTGTTCAGCATGTTATAAATCTGTATTGCTTGATGATTCTTTGATATAACTACAACACAAATCCGCATAAAGAGCGCAGTGATAGAAGCGGAATTTGACCTTTTGTAGCAGGCTCTGTAGCAGTCAAAATATCGGAGGATCAGATGCCAACATATGTTAGCGCATTACTTGAGAAGGAAAAAAAAAAGAGTGGTTGCATATCTAAATGAGTTCATTTATGATAGTGATCAAGGGTTCCTCTGTGATACTCGAGCATATTCCTTATTACAGTTTGTGATAAAAATAAGGCTCTAGTCAGAGTAGGTTTCATTTACAATGGGTATTAAAAAATAATTGAAAAGTAAATCATAGCGCGACACTTCACTGGGATAAATCCTCTCTCCCCTCTCCATTTTACACTCGGTAGCTCGTTTAGCCCGTAAATATAATTCCTGTAAAATGCCAGCAAGAACCAGTAACCGCTAACACGTCTACCAATAAAAATGCGTCCCGTAAGTTTAATGACCCTGCCAAACTCAAAACCCTAATATCGCACACTGCAAAAAAAAAAAAAAAAAAAAAAAAAAAATTATAAAAGCTTACATTTGTGCTTTAAAGTTGACACTGCTCTTTAGTGACGCAGGAACAAGAGTTACGTCAAAGTTCGCTGCTCTTTCGATCGACAGCTGCTCGGGAATCCCCCTGCACTACCGTTTAGTAATTCACACACATATATATATATAGTGTCGTGTTTTCTTTTCTCTCTTTCTCTGCTCTTTCTTTGTTTTAAATTAGAGATCAATTTACAATTCAGATAAAGAAGGTCGACCAGTTTATAATCCTGAGCATATAATTAGCGTGCCTAAGCCAGGCGCTCCCCCAGGTCAGTCGCTGCTCCTAGCGCTCCGGTGCAAAGCGGTGAAGCTCGGCGCGCGCACGCTGGTGAGAGGTTGTGAAGGTTGACGCGAGTGGAGCAAGTGCCACGGAACTCGGCAGCCACGGAACAAAGGCATGTGGCAGACAGGGGAATCGAGTGAGATTATCAGGAGTAAAAAACCTTGGTTCTGTTTTATCACAGTAGCCGCAATCGGCAGTCCTACTATTTTGCAAAAGTTTTCTCGGGACTCAGTTCCTGACAGCGACGACATCGTCTGGAAGTTTAGACGATGTCGGCGATTAATCAGCCAGCGCATCATCCGGTCAGAGCGGTTGATGCCCAGCGTCAACGGCCCTGGCCGATAAATTTGCAGTAACAAGGAGCAGCATCGTGGCATTCGTCATCTCCTTGTGCGTGTTTTTTCAACGGCTAAACTAATCCAGTGCTGCGAATGCCTCGTGACTTGCGCTTTTGGTACGTGTTTGTGGTCGGATGTGTTCCAGCCTTCGACTGTGCTCTGACCTAAGACGAAACAAATTATACCGTGAGTAGAGACGTTGTGAAATTCATAATTGTACAATTTTTCTTTGCTTCTATTTCTCCGAATATTAGGGTCAACCAATAACAAAAATTATTTGTTTTGCTTTAAGCCCGTCGCGGCGCAGATATGGCGCAGTTCTTAGCAAAAAGAGAATTTTGACGGAAGATGTAGCAGACTTTCGTTCATGGCGCAATTTGGCGCAGCATTTCCATCACTTCCATAACTCTCTCCCTTCTTTGTTCGAAATATATATTACGTATATATATACTTATATTATTTCTGTTTTTTTTTTTTTTTTTTTTTGGAAGGGGGGGTCGATTTTTTTGGGAAAGGTTTGATTTGAATTATCAAACCAAAACCGGTGTGATATAGATCACGTTCGAAATTACGATTTAAATCTTCTTGATTTTTATTTTTCACCCTGCATCTAGGGCACTGTAGATGTAGTTCTTTTTTTTTTTTTTTTTAACTTCGCTCTCTGCAGTATTTTCTCAAGCCGCTCGAGCTGTGTACGTCTCTCGAAGACTGCAAGGGTCTCCGCGTTCCGTCTCACTTTCAGAACGAGTTCCTTCGCCCAGTCCCACCGGCGTGACAAACCCGGAGGTTTGTCCGCCGTCTAAACGGAAGTCAGCTTTCTGGTGACCCGAGCAATGTTCTGTACCACTGCTTGTTCACAAGCATGCTATTAATTTTCATGGTCAGTTGCTGAAGCGTAGAAAGAGTCGCTAATATAAGACGCGTATTTCGAATGTCTTCGGACAAGGTTTGTTGCATTCATTTTAAGGGAACGCGTACAGTGGCTCCGTGACGTCGGTCTATATATACTCGCTCCTGTGGGGAGAAAGTGGGGGGGGGGGGGGGGGGGGGGGAATAGTTCGAGAAGGTATGAAGAGAGGGAAACTGGGAACCTGATTTCTTCCCGGCAGAAGACAATTCTGTACGTCGGCCTTCAAAGGGGCGGTGCAACGATTTTCGGACTTTGACCAGTCCACTGCGGGAATTAATCTGTGTTGTCTATAGAATGAAGAACAGGAAACCGCATCTTTTTCCGCGAGTTAGTTTTTATTTAAAAAATAAATAAAAAATCGAAGATCAAAGCGTCTCTGAATTTGCACGTCGGGGCAAGGTGACGCGTTTTTTGTTACTTGTGCCTAGATAAAAAAATATGAAAAATACAAACTGCAAATTCTTTCAACATTAAAATGGAGAAGTTAACCCTTCGGCGGGCAAAATGACCCAAATAAACGCCGCCAGAGCGACTAAAAAAAAATGCGCGGTACGGCATGGGCGGCAAGGGTTTATGCGGCTTCGAGCTATTTAATGGCTCGGTCGTGCTCACTGAGTTCCGACGTCGACGAAGTCGCTCGCAATGCTTATCCGTTTTCTTCACACCAAAACAACGTTATTAATAAAGCCTCTGCGTGCAAACAAATGGCGAAAGGGGCGGACGCCGCTCATCAACATGGCGGAAATGCGGTATGCCGGAAGTGAGAAAGCGGAGCTGGCTCGCATGTCCTTGCACCCAGATCCCCGGGGCGAGTCCAGCCTGAGCCTGGAGCTGCGCCGGCTCCTGGCGGGCGTGTCCGGAGCCTCGTCCGGCAGGGGCAACCTGTCCGGGCTGCTGGCCCTGCTGGCCCCGCTGGCGGCCCTGCCCATCATCGCCGGCACCGCCCTGCCGCTCACCATGGCGCCCATGCTCATACCGGCCATGAGCACGGTGCTGGGACGACGGCGCCGCAGGGACCTGCTTGGCAACTTCCTCGGAAACGTGAGTGATGTGGCGGGCATGCTTCTTTTCCGAGCGATGCTTGTTGTAGCGCGGTGCGATATCTCGGGCTGGACACGAGTCTCAGGTTGGTCGTCACCTGCTTTCAAATTTAGCGGGAAAAAGAATGCTTTGGCCGGGAATATTGATTTTCGCCTAGACATTTCGGCTACAGTAATACCAACTGCTTGGTTGCGCCGCCTCCAGCGCGAGCTTTCTATGGTTACGGGCAACAGGGCCCTGTAAGGAGTATTCACTGGGCGCCATATTTGTGGGTGCTGTCTAAAGCGCATGCTCAGAACGAGCCCCCCTTAATAGGCTGCTAGGACGGGCCATTTTGACGGTGTGGAATGCACGTTGCAAAAGAACCCTGGAAGCTAGCTATCAGCATGCTCTCAGTAGTCGCGCACACAGCTACGGCCGCCAGTGAATACTTCCTATCGTTTTGTTAAAACTCCTTCGTGGAATTACGTTTCGTGGATATCTTTTCATGGAAACACGTTTCGTCGACAATCGTTACGCGAACTGCACGATGTATGGGGCATTTTGTCATGTGCGTATCACTGGGGTGCGCGTTCTATTCTATTCTATACATTTCATTGTTTAAGAGAATCGTAGTCTACATGTGTTAGCTGTCACAGCCCAGGTCGCCGCTTTGGAAGGCGAGCAAAGTACGCGCCACACGCATGAACGCTGAAAACTGCACCTACCAGAAGCGCTTTTCTGGTATGGTCTATAGATATTTTGCTAAATTACGTAAGCACCAAGGAGCATATGCATGCTAAAAGAAACGTTACACGGGCTGACGTATGCAACAGTAACTTTTCTAAAGAAAATCTAAAACAAATGGCACGTTCCTTTAGGAAACACGAGCGTGTGGGGCACCTGTACCGACATTCGAACGTTCTCCGTTGTGCTTGGGTAATTTGTCAAAAAATGTATTGCGTGAAACTTCGACTTTTCTTCGCCAGCGTAACTGCCAGCTTCTGATAAAAGTAGAACGGATTTGCTATTGATTTCACGTAACTAGCGAGCCGCGGCTTGAGCGTATCGAGTTGCAAAAACGGTTTTCTCAAAATCCCAATTGCTTCCGTTTTTTTGTTTTTTTTCCCTCGTAGTTCAGCAGGTTGGCGAAGGTCATACTTTGTGCAAATAAAGATTAGTATCAACTTCATATAGCACGAACGTCCCTGTTTTCTTGCTGTTTGACGCCTGAAAGGCGGGCGCGAGCGTACTCGATTGCCGGCCGCGCGCCTCGCTGCCCACCGGTGATGTCACGTTTGGATGGCGGGGAAAACTGGGGCGACCAATGTATTGGTTTCGGCAGCGAACAAAATATCACTTTTATTAATTAACTAGAGTGAATCAGGAGGAACGAGATAGCGTTTCTTAATCAGGAAGCGCGTTCAGATGATGGCTTTGGTTTAGGTGGCTCAAGAAATCGGCGGACTTCCCCTTTAAAGGCTGAACCGCATGTAAGCGATTTAGCGAGCGACGAGAGTCAGCAGCGAGCGACAGAGGTTTCTCTCTGTCGCTCGTCGCGTAGCTCGGTTTTTGGATCGCCTTGGTCGCTTACTCCGCGCGACTGACCGCGCGAAAGCGAAGCAAGGCGCCGTCGCTTGTCTCGTCTCTCGCCAAATCGCTTACATGCGGTTTATACTTAAGGGTGAATAGAGTATAATGCCGATACCTTCATATTTCAGCCTGACCTTAACAAAATTTCTACTTGGTGTGATACGTGGAAAATGCCTCTTAATACTAATGAATGCGAAGTAAGGCAAATCTCCCGCCATATCAATGGTGAAAACTACTCCAACTATAACATTGTACGGTGTGTGCTGGAGCAAATGGCGTCCTATAAGTACCTAGGCGTACATACCACAACAAACCTCTCCTGGTAAACGCATTTCAACCATATTCTAAACAACGCTAATGAAATGCTTTGGTATTTACGTCGAAACTTTTCTATGGTGCCTTCATCTTTAAAGCTTTTATCATACAAAACTCTTGTCCGTTCCAAACGTGAGTATACGCTTGTGAGGTATGGTATCCAAGCCTAGACTTTCTTTAAAATAACCTACAATCAATTCAAAATCGCAGTGCACATTTCATTTTGTATAACTACCATCGTGGATCAAGTGTTTCATTAGTGAAAGCTACTTTAAACCTTTCTCATCTCGATCTACGCAGAGAAGTCTCTCGAACAGCCTTTTTTCATAAGATTTATCATCAAAATCATTCACTGAAAAGCGAGCTGCTTTTGGAGCCTTCATACTTTTCATCCCGTGCGGACCATAGTCATAAAATTCCATATCGATGCGGGTCATTTTCGCTCCGCCAAAAGATTTCACATTGACGTCACCCCGCTCGACACGATTCTGACGACACGCCGCGCATCACGTCACCTAAACGATAATAATCCCTGGACAGGAAGAACAGGGGGGTCAAAGGACAAACACATATCTCCAAAAACAGCAAAGTGACTGGTGCGCGGTGAAAAAATCCGTCTGGTTATAGTATGAAACCATGGACAGAACAAACGATCGTTTCTTCTGTTTAACTCGCCTGCAACTTCGCATAATTGCCATGTCAAGTCACGTTGCACATGCACTGCAGTGACGCCACGCGGCTTAATGTCATCAGGTGACATCGTGAGCCACGTGATGTCATGACGTCACGTGACCACTTTGACGTCACATGACAATACGTCGTCACGTGACGCCATGACGCCATAACCTAAACATGAGACTGCTCATAATGGAAACAATAGAAACAAAGCGTTTTCGCTACTTATGCGGCATTTGAGCTCAGCAAAATCTACAAGAGCGAGTCCCGTGCATGCTTTGAACGGGCCTGCCGAGCGGTGGCCATCAGTTCGTCGAATGACGTCTCATCGACAGATTGTTTTGTATACAGCGACGTTCCATCGACAGTCCGTCTTATCAAAAGGTTCTTTCGATCGTTTCATCCCCACTGTCCTTGCGGCGTTTCGTCGAAAGCATCTGTCCGCGCACATCGCCTCTGTCGGCCGATTCCTTGGCGGTTCCTATGAGGGCTGGTGCAAGCTCGGGCCAGATTATATAAAGTTTCCCCGAGCGAAGTGAAGGATTCCCACACGTAACGTGGAGTGTTTGGAAGCCCAGGATTGGGACTCGCGAATTTGTTTTTGCCCTATCGGAGCCGCCTGAGTGAGTTCGCTTAATTCAGTTCCGGTCTGGTGCCTGGAGCGAGTCTCCAACAGGTGTGTTTAGCGTCCTTTGCCGCCCATATATCAAGGCTGGTCCGGAAGTGGCAGCAAATGACGTCACAGAAGTCGGAGTGTCATACTATTGCCTGTCGCGATCCTGGCGGTTGGTAGTAGAAATGCTGGCGAAAAGCACGATTTTGCGTAGGAAACTGCTGCTCCCTTTGCACGAGAACCTGTGCAATCGGACGGCGTTCCACAGAAAGCTCGCGCATCGAGAAACAGGTCAACAGCCAGGGATGTCCATTTCAGGAGGAAGACAAATGGACCTTTTCCGAGAAGCGTTCTGCGCACGCGCGAGCGCCCGATGCCAAGCGGCGGAAGTCGGAACAAAAAATCGAGGAAATTCGGAAGGAGGCTATATATCAGCGAGTAGAACACGTAACTGCAGCATATACTATAATTATGTTACATAAAAAAAGAACGTCGACGGAAGGGAAAACACGACGTTTGGGTGGACGCCACGGATGCCCCTCTTTAAAGTCGAGTTGGGCAGGCGCCGCTGCTCAGAGAGCGAAGAAACTGGTAGCGTAGCTCCCATTATCGATTGGTAGCGCAGGAAGATCACTTCCTCGATTTTTAGTTCGTGCAGCCACCGCCTGGTGCCGTCGGTATGTGGAAAAGGTCCATTCCATACTAAAGCGTTTTATACCACACTGTATCGAAGCGCCACCGTACACGATTTATTGCGTTCGTGCACAGGTCTGGAATGCGATCTTATCGCCATCTGCTGGTTCGCAATCACATTAACCCAGGGTGGGGGTTTCACCTTAAAATACGAAACGCCTACGCGGACTCTATGGCGCGCGCTTGTACCTTTATCGTTCATTCAGTCCATCTGCTCCGAAATGACAGCTTAGCGGTGCCGACGTCACAGTTTAGCTGTCGCAGCGGTTCACTTTACGGATAGCGTAAGTGTTTAACAATATTTTTTATTACCTCTCCCTTCTGCACCGCCCTCTGGCCTTGAAGGTATATAAATAAATTAATAAATAATTAAAAAAGAAAAAAAACAGTACTCTCAGGTCCCGTTTTAAACCAAGAACCTTCATTGCCGCCATCAGTCATTAGACATGGGCATTGCGATTAATGAGCAAGCAAATTGTTGTGTGTGTGTTTATACAGCCGGAAGTTAGTCTGCCTCAGTGGGCGTCTGGTGTCTCAGCTGTAGATGAGCAACTTAGCGAGTGCGGTACAACCGCTAACCTGGGTCTACGAGCACCACGCAGTAGTGATACACAACCGCACGCCGGCACGATGCTCATCCAGATCGAAACGGGAAGGGGCGGGGATTGAGGCCTGGGTTCTGCAACGCGAGCTTCCGCTCCACGTGCTCCGAGCTGGTGTGCGCTAGACCACTCGGCCACCGATCCCTTTTTTTCTTCTTTTTTGCCGAGATATGGACATTCACAGAATAACATACCACAAAATTCCAAATGCCACGCTTATCGACTGACGTCTAACGCGGCATGTCTAAAATGGTTTCAAGCGAGTCACATCGTCGAGTATTGATACAAAATCAGGCCCACATGCATCACAAGATCGTGTGGAACATTGCTCTCTTTTTCTACAGCTAAAATCCTAATACCATGCGGATTTAACGGAAACGTTTTCTTCAATGTGCGTTGCAGCACGTCCCATAACAAAATCCCATTCCAACAGTCTAGAAAGACGTGTTCTACTGTCTCCGGCTTTTGGCACAGAAAACAGTTTACACTCCACGGTACAAACAGACATTTGTCTTCTGACCAAGTCTTTA